CTAAAGACAGCCTTCACGAAGTACAGATGTTTGTCTATTTTTCTTTTATGTCTATTTATTTTGTGTTGTTGTTCGTGGTGTGGAAGGGGGTAGGATAATCTTTGGGGGTTTGTTGTGTGTTGTAGCATATGTGTTGATGTAGCCTTTTTTTCAATATCTCTATCTATCTATCTATCTTTCTATCTATCCCTCTCTCTCCCTCTCTTCCCCCCTCACTCTCACCCTCCTCTCCCTTTCCCTCTCTCATTCTCTCAGTCTCCCTCATCCTCCTTCCACTCCTATCTTTTCTCTTCTCTTCTCTGTTCTCTCTTAACCCACCTCTCAATCCGAATTTCTTCCGAGCGTCTTCCGCCCCATCCTCTCCTCCTTCCTCCTGCTCCTCCCTCTTCCTTCGCCCTCCCTTCCTCCTCCTCCCGTTTGCTCGGCCAATACCTGTCAATCACTTTCCTACCTGGAGAGTTTCATAACAGTTGATGCAGATCCAAGTAAGTGGGAGGGGGAGAGGTGGACTAATTGCTTGTAACTGACGTGTGTGGGTTTGTGGGCGTGGGTGTGGGTGTGTGGGTGGGGGTGGGTGGGTGGTGTGGGTGGGTGGGTTGTTGTGTGTGTGTGTGTGTGTTGTGTGTGTGGTGAGAGTCTATTTATCTGTCAGTCGATAAGCTGTGCGTCAGTCTGTCCGTCTGGCAATCTGTCTTTTAACAACAGCGCGAATCCGAGACAAGTGTGAATCCGCCAAGACCCCGAGCTGCTGGTGCTGCCACCTCGCGTCCAACATCAACACGTTTGCGCGCGGATTCTGTTTGGTTTGGTGGAGCTCTGTGTTTGTGTGGCGATCCAATATACCCGCTTTTTTCATTATTTTTCCGTTTCTTTTTTTCACGGAGGTCACCATACATCTGTTGACCCGACCCCCGTGTTTTTGATTGCTGGCGATTTCAGGGGGATCTTCTTTCTATGAATCTTCTTTCTCTCTTCTCCTTCTCTCGCCTCTTCTCTTCTTCGCCTCTTCTCCTTCTCTCGCCTTCTCCTTCTCCCTCCTGACGGGGCGCTGTAACCACACACCGCCCCCGGGAACCTCGCCGATAAAAGTTCTGACTGACTTGCTATCAGACCCCCCCTCCCCTCTTCCCCCCTTCCCTTCCCCACTTTCCTCCCTTCCCCCTTCACCCCCTCTTCCCTTCCTCTTCCCTCTTAAACTTCCTCCCTTCCCCCTTCCTCCCCCCTTCTCCTAAGGCTCTCTTCGCCGCCTACGCTGAGCTGCCGATAGCGCTGACAGCTGCTGACAGCGATTGGTGGTTCTGACAGCCAAGTCGGGGCCGAGTCTGATGTTTTCACTGCACGGAACGTAAGGTTTTATTTGACTTCCGGGCTGCGAAGGAGAGAGAGAGAGAGAGAGAGAGAGAGAGAGAGAGAGAGAGAGAGAGAGAGAGAGAGAGAGAGAGAGAGAGAGAGAGAGAGAGAGAGAGAAGAGGAGAGAGAAAGAGAGAGAGAGGAGAGAGAGAGAGAGAGAGAGAGAGAGAGAGAGAGAGAGAGAGAGAGAGAGAGAGAGAGAGAGAGAGAGAGAGAGAGAATAGGAAAAACTAAAAGAAAAAAAAGAAAATAAGCACACACACACACACACACACACACACACACACACACACACACACACACACACACACACACACACACACACACACACACACACACACACACACACACACACACACACACACACACACACACACACACACACACACACACACATTATATATATATATATATATATAATATATATATATATATATATATATATATATATATATATATATATACCCTGAAGACTCGTCGGACAAGTGTCTGGCTCGGGTGCGCAGCCACGATCTCCATCCATCCTGAACCTGTTTATTGTCCTCCGCCGCAAAGGTACGGAGGCAAACACGGCTTATTTTTGTTGCCTTGTTTACCTGCTGCGATGATGAGGAAAGAGGAGGAAAAAGGGGAGGGGGAATGGGAGGGAGGGAGGAAAAGAGGAGGGGAATGGAGAGGGAGGGGGAAGAGGAGAAAGGAAGGGGGAATGGAGAGGGAGTAATAGGAGGAGGAAGATTGGAAAGGAAGGGGGGATGAGGAAAAGGGAGGCGTGGAGAGGGGAGGGAGTGATAGGAAGAGGAAGATTGGAAAGGAAGGAGGGAAGGGGGAGTAAGGAAATGAATGAGGAGGTTAAGGTGGACAGAGGAAGAGGAGAAGAGGAGAAAAAGCAAGAAAGTGATGATGATGCGAATAGTAATGATAACAACGAAGAGAGAAAGGGAGAGAAAGAGAAAAAAAAAAACAGAAAACAGCGAAAAAGGAAAAAAATGCGGAAACACATTTTGATTTCGAATCTTAACACGTCTGCAAACACACGAACAAAATCCGAGAACTGCAAGAAAATTCAACAAATGCATTTTTTTCTGATTAAAACCGAGTCGAGTCGGAGAGTTGCATGAGTGTGGCATTGGCGCTCGTTTTCCAATAATCATAAGCTGGTTTTATTTTAATTAGCGAGAGGCGAAAACACTTCAGCGAAAATAGATTGTGAGGTCATGTTGCTGAGACACGAAAACTCTTTAACTCTCTCTCTCATCTCTCTCTCTCTCTCTCGTCTCTCTCATTCTCTCTCTTCTCTCTCCTCTCTCTCTCTCTCTCTCTCTCTCTCTCTCTCTCTCTCTCTCTCTCTCTCTCTCTCTCTCTCTCTCTGGAAAGGAAGAAGCAGCGAAGGGGGCGGTCACGGTGATTATTTGCTCAGAGAGAGAGACAGGGAGAGGAGGGAGAGAAACATCTGTGTGTGTGTGTGTGCGTGCGTGCGTGCGTGTGTGTGTGTGGTGTGTGTGCGTGCGTGCGTGTGTGTTCTGTGTTGCGCGTGTGTGTATTCGTAAGCGTGTATGTGCGAGCGTTAAGCCTCACAGTAAACCTAATTGACATTGCCGTCGCCAGCTCCGCTCAGCTGGATGACGCATGCGCCGACTCGTGCATATGCAGAGTATAAATTTCCTCAGATTAGTGTAATGCAACACCGACTTTAACCGCTCATTTTGGACTTTATATGCAAAAAAAAGAGACGGTCTTATCGGCTTACGTCCATGAATTTCCCTAATCTTTATGTGTAAATCATCGCTAATTATCCCCGGCGCTCATTAGCGCTTTTACCGTAATTAAGTGCAGGCGCCCCCCCTCGCCCCCTCTCCCCCCCCACCCTTTGCCTTAATCACCTGCTCTCCCATCGCCTTCGTTAGCGTTGGGATATTGCCCCTTATGCTCTTGAACCCGCCTGGTGTGTTTGCGACTTCCCTTGCCCTTATGGCTTGCTTGATGCTTTTTGGATGACGTCGTGACCTGGTGTGACCTGACCGCTGCTGTTTCTCTTCCTCGTCCTTCTCCTCCTCCTCCTTCTCCTATTTTCTTCTCCTTCTCTCTTTTCTCTTATTCTTTCTCTCTTTTCCTCCTCTCCTCTTCTCTCCTTCTCTTCTCCTCCTCCTCCTCCTACTTATCTTCCTTCTCCTCCTCCTCTTCCTCCTCCCCTCTCCTTCCTCCTCCTCCTCCTCCTCCTCCTACGTGTCAAGTGTTTTTGTTTGTTTAATGATTATACTTTTACTTCCATTCTTTATCATATGTTCATTTTCCTTCTCTATCTTTCGGCGCAACCTCCCTCCCCTTTAAAAAAAAGAATCTCCCTATTTAGGCCTACCTCCCCCATCTCATCTCCATCTCCATCCTCATCTCCACCTCATTTCAGCCTCTCCCTCATTCCAGCTTCATCCACGTCGTCTTCATTAACCCGAGCTCTAGTTATCCCACCGACCACGGGTAATTTTGGGCCGACTAAATCTTTTGGTGACACGACACTTGCTCTTTGCTTCTTCTTCTTCCTCTTCCTGTTGTTGTTGTTCTTCTTCTTTTTCTTTTTCTTTTTCTTTCTTTCTTCTTTTTATGTTTCTTCTTCTTCTTCCTCCTCATTGTCGTCCTCCTCGTCGTCGTCCTCCTCCCCTACCTCTTCCTCCTCCTCCTACTTCCCTTCTTCTTCCTCCTCGTCCTTCTTCCTTCTACTCTTCCATTCTCTCTCATTCCCTTTTCCAGATTTTGTATCCGTTATCCTTGCCTCTTCCACACGTCTTCCTCCTTTTTCTCCTTTCATTTTTTCCTCCTTAGCAACACGTTGTCTTCCCCTTCTCTCCACCTCTTCCCCTCTGCTGCCTCCCCTTTCTCCCTCTCCTCTACACCCTATTTTCCCCTTCTTCCTTCCCCTCTTCGACCCATTCCCTCCCTCCTACCCTCCACCTCTTCCCCTTTTCCCTCCACCATTTGCTGAGGCAGGTGGAGAGAGAGTGGGGGGGGTTGGTAGAATAGGGGGAGGGGTGAAGAGGGTGTGGAGAGAGTAGGGGTGTTGGGGGGATAGGATAGGGGGAGGGGATGGAGAGAGTGGGGGGTGGGGGTATATGGTAGGATAGGGGAGGGGAGGGGGGGGGGTCCTACGCCTCGCTACGGTAAGAATTCATTAACTCCTTTGTTGGCTTTGATCTCTTAAAAGTGACGAATGTTCTTGAGAATGTCTTTGTGCTACTAGGGCGTGCGTCGGGGGGGGGGGGGGGGGGGGGAGAAGGGCGTGCGGAGAGGGAATGGGGTTGTTAAGGAAGGGTGGATGTTGCACGTTTTATTTTTTTTTTTTTATGTGGATGTGTTTTGAGAAATATATATTTTTTCTATCTATCGATCTGTATTTATATGTCTGTGAATCTCTTTCTGTCTATTCTTCCTGCCTTCCTCCTTCCTTCCTTTCTTCCTTCCCATGCTTCCTCCATGCCACTCCCCCCACCCAGTCACCCCCACTCACGGCCTCGACGACCTCCCCCCTCTCCCTCTCCCCCTCCCGAGAATCTCCCCTCTCCCCGAGAATCTCTCCCCCCCTCCCCTCTCTCCCTCCCTCCCTCCCCTCCCCTTCCCTCTCCCCGTGCCAGCTTTAACCCCTGCGTTGTCTCCCCCAGGTGAACGGGCGCGACGTGAGCGGGCTGAGCCACTCGGACGCCGTGCGGGTGTTCCAGGAGGCGCAGGAGCCCATCATGGTGCAGGTGCTGAGGCGACCGGCCCACAACAACAACAACAATAACAACAACAACAACAACACGAGTAGCGGCAGCACGCCCAACGCCGCCTCCCAGACGCAGCAGCAGTCCGCCTCCGCGCCCTCCTCGCCCTCGCACACAGCCACGCCCAACAGCACGCCCTCGACCTCCGCCTCCACGTGCACCACCACGGCCGCGTCGGGCGGCGCGCACCACCACCACGAGGGCGACCTGCACGCGGGCCCCACCGCCACCACGGGCACGCAGACGGAGGTAAAGGACGCCGCGGGCCTCGTCTTGCTGTTTAGGTTAAGGGTGCAGTCACTCATACCCGCACACACACGCATGTGCACACGCGCGCGCACTACATCACACACACACACACACACACACACACACACACACACACACACACACACACACACACACACACACACACACACACACGCACACACACACACACACACACACACACACACACACACACACACACACACACACACACACACACACACACACACACACACACACACACACACACACACACACACACACACACACACACACACACACACACACACACACACACGACACACACACACACACACACAGATTTTAATGTTTTGATAAATGTCTCGACAAACATGTAAGTAGGTGGATAGATAAAGGTAGACACAAACAATGAATGAAATTGTGTTTATCGTATTGAATGAACAAAGAAGGTAGATTAAATTTAGGAACTGCTGAATTAACAGCTGGTTGATGAATACTATAAAAAGATGATTATTATTTGTTGTTATTTTTTCAATATTATTATTATTATTATTGGTAATAGTAGTAGTAATTGTTGGATTATAATTATTGTTATTATCATCATCATCATTATCATTATCATCATCATTAGCATTCTCATTATTGTTATTACTACTACTACATTACTACTACTACTACTACTACTATTATTATTGCTATTTTTGTCATTAATACCATCATCATCATTACCATTATCATTATCATCACCACTACCATCATAATCTCATTAATCCCACTGCACTCCCACTCACCGCCCAACCTTCCCGCCCCCGACAGATGACCCTGATGGGCGTGGGCGACTGGGAGGTGGCCACGAGCGAGTGGATGGGCGGCGTGGGCGTGGGAAGCGACTCCGATTCTCCCGACGGCGACTACGTCTTCCCCGGCGACTTGCCTCAGTCTCTCTCGCAGTTTCTTGAGCAGGAGATTGATATCGAGGTAAGGAGGAGATGGCGATTAGTGATAAAAAGGAGGAAGGAGGAGATGGCGATTAGTGATAAAAGGGAGGAAGGAGGAGATGGCGATTAGTGATAAAAAGGAGGAAGGAGGAGATGGCGATTAGTGATGAAAGGAGGAAGGAGGAGATGGCGATTAGTGATGAAAGGAAGGAAGGAGGAGATGGCGATTAGTGATAAAAGGAAGGAAGGAGGATGAAGATGTGATAAGGAGTAATGATGATAAAAAAATGGGATGATGAGAGAAAGGGTTTCAGTTTTAAGGTCAGGATAAGTACTTCTGTAGGTTTTTTGGTCAGTGTTATCATATTTTTAGTGGTTCGATATTTGTATACAATTATTGAGTGGTTGAGACAGACAGACAGACAGACACGGACACACAGACCGACAGACAAAGAGAGACAGACTTATATTACGCAATTCTATCGTACATGGATTTTTTTTTTTTAATGCAGCTCAAGAAACCGCAAAATTCTCTTTATTTCCCTCTTTTTATAGACACACCAAGATCAGTCCGAGAGTCAAATTGCCCGGAGCATTTCACGGAAAAGCTAATGTTGCATGCAATTCCCCTTGCAAAATGCAGCGCGTGCGGAAGGGCGGGCCGGGATGAGAGGGGGAAGGAGGGGGGGGGGGGAGGGGGAAATGCGAGTCCCAGAGACTAATTTCCGGCAGGATCTTCTCCGGGCTGGAGGACGGGAGAGGAAGGAGGAGGAAGGGAGAGGAGTTGATAGGGAGGGAGGCAGGCAGGGAGTTAGGTAGGTAGGTAAGTAGGTAGGTGCAGGCAGGTAGGTAGGTAAGTAGGCAAGTAAGCAGGCAGGCAGGTAGGTAAGCAGGCAGGTAGGTAAGCAGGCAGGCAGGCAGGCAGGAGGGTAGGTAGGAGGCAGGTAGGTAGGTAGGTAGGTAGGTAAGCAGGCAGGCAGGTAGGTAAGCAGGCAGGCAGGTTTAGGTAGGTAGGTAGGTAGGTAGGTAGGCAGGAAGACAGGCAGGTAGGTTTGCAGATGGAAATACATACAGACACACAGACAAAGGAACAGATCTATAAGTAGGCAAGCAGGTAGGTAGGAAGATAGACCGACATGTAGGGAGGCGGATGAACAAACCGACAGACGGAAACACAAGGAGATAGACAGACAGACAGACAGAGACACAAGTAGATAGACAGACAGACAGGTAAAAATAGAAAAGAGGAGAGCAACACAGGCAGATAGACATGAGTGCAAAAAAACGACGAAATCTAGTCTGCAGCCGCGGCGTCTCGTTCCTCGGCCCTACCCGCTCCGCCCGGCGCTAGACCTCTCCGGGGCTTCCTTCGGGGAAATGATCATCCTCCAAGAAAGAAGAAATAATAAACAAGAGAGCGTGCAACTTTCCAAAAACCTTTCGCCTTTTAAAAGTGGTAATAAGGCTATTGTTGGAGTCGATTGTGTTCGTCTGCCCCGTTCAAAGCGAGACGCGCGCACGCACGCAAGTGGGCGTGACGGCCGTTTTCTCTTCCGGCGCGCTGGACGGGAGGGGAAACTCGTGAAGATTACCGAGAAATGCTCAATGGGAGATCCTCGTGCTCCCCTTTTGCCTCCCACGCCCGGTTCTCTCTTCCCCTCCTTTTCTCCCTCCCTTCCCTCTCCCCTCTCCCCCTCCTCTCCTCCTCCCTCCTCCCCTCCCCTCCCTCCTCCCTCCCTCCTCCCTCCCTCCTCCCTCCTCGTTGCATCAGTCGTCATGTTTTACCTCGAGAGCGCGACCCTTCCGTGACCCTTTGGGGACGAGAACATAGGATCACAGGGGTTACTGTAGCAGAAGGAAGAGGAAGAAGAATGGGAGGAGAAGGAAAGGGAACGGAAAGAAGTTTAGGGGATAAAGGGATTGAAAAAAGACGGATGGTTTTAGAATAGGGAAGGGAAGGGAAAGAGAGAGAGAGAGAGAGAATTGGAAAGGAATATAAAGATGCAATAAATTGGGAAAGAGAGAGGGTAGAAACTAATAAATGTTGAGGGGCGGTTGGAAAGCGGAGAGAAGGAAGAAGGAAAGGCAGGGAAAGGGATGTAAAGAAGAGGGAGATATATAAAGAGACAGGAAGAGGAGGAAGTGCATACGCAAAGCCTCTCTCTCTCCCATAGTGCCAATCTCACTGCGAGAGCGGGGCGTGTGGGCGTGTGGGCGCGCGCTCCTGATGGGATATTCATTTTCGATTCTCATTATATGCATTTTTTTTTTCATTCTCATTTGTCTTTCGTCTGCCGGAGGAGGAGGGAAAGGGAGGCCGGGGGCAGGCTCTATTTCGCAAAGCCCCCCCCCCCCTTTCTCCGTCCCCCACACACACACCCTCCTCCTCCGCCCCCCTCGACCACCCCCTCCCTCCCCTTTGTCAGAAGACGCCAGCGCCTCGAAACTTCTGACGCAGACGGCAAAAGACCCTCCTTTCCTCCGCTCCCGAAAAGACCCTCCTCGGCGCGGAAATTAAGATTCATAGCTTAAAGGAGCCACAAAGCGTAACCTCCGGCCATTGTCTGGGGGACGGGTTATATCGCGAGGGGGTTGGGGGGGGTTGGGGGGTTGGGGAGGTATGAGTGGGGGGTTGACATCACATTCTCGGGACTCGATACTCTGAACTAGGTCGCTTCGTGTGTGTGTGTGTGTGTGTGTGTGTGTGTGTGTGTGTGTGTGTGTGTGTCTGTGTCTGTGTGTTCATGTGCTCACGCCCGCACGTGTATGTCATTGTGCGCGCATACGTGCGTGTATGTGCCCAAACAAGTATAAATATCCGTACCGACAAGGGTTCATACGCCCACTCATGACCTCATGCGTGTTCGTCACCCCGTTCATCTGCGCAACTCGAGAGGCCGAGGAGCAGCGTCCCTAATCCCTCGGAACATCCCTAAAACAATTAAGACGCGCCGAAGGGAAAACAGAGGCGCAGCTGAGGCGATCCGGCGCAGTAACTCGAGCCTGCGCATCCAAACGCCATCCAATCCTTTAGTCCCTCGAGGAAAGTGGCCATCACGGCTCGGTGGGGGCGGGTATAGGCCTATGTCACGGCGTCTTGGGGAGGGAGGGAGGAGGGAGGGGAGGAGGAGGGGGGGAGGGAGGGGGAAGGGGGAGGAGGAGAGGGTTATGGGAGGGGAGGGGAAGGGGTTAAGGAAGGGAGTGGAGAGAAGGCAGGAAGGAAAGATGGTAGAAAAGGGTTGAATAATAGGGTATTATTAGAAAAGGGGGTAAGAAAAGGAAACAAAAATAAAGACAATTGAGAGAGAAAGAAAATAATAAAGATTAAAAAAAAGCTTTCAAAACAAACCAAAATGAAAGAAAATCCACAGAATTAAGAAAACCCAAGGAATACATACGTCAAAGGAAGGGGGGGTAGGGAAGGGAGTAGGTAAGGAGAGGTAGGGGTGGGTGGGGGGGGAAGGGGGACGAGGTAGGCAGCTAAGGAATCCTGCAGGAGGCCATCAGCAGTGACTCCTCCAGTGACATAGCGCAGGAAGAGGAAGCTACTGCAGGTGAGAAACTGTGAGGCGAAGGAAATATTAGGAAATGAAAAATGCAAGGAGGAAGATAAAAGAAGGAGGCGTATGTGGGGGAGGGGGGTCAGAAGGAAAAAGGGGGGAAGGAAGGAGTGGGAGGAACGAAAGGTAAAGAAGTAGGTTGATGATAGAGAGAAAGAGGAATAACAATGGAGTAATGGAGGTGATGATACTGATTGTTATTATTATTATAAGGAGGGCGGTGAAGATGACAAATGGAACCGTGTTAAGAAATGTACTGAAATACGAGCCAAGAAAATTGCAAGAAAACTCAAAACGTAAAGATAAAAGAAAAAAATTGCAAAAACTAATACAAGACACAGAAAGGAGGAAGAAAAAAGGCAAGCCAAAAAGGAAAAGAAACAAACGAAGAAGGGAGAAAACAGAAGAGAAGGAGAAGGAGAAGAAGACGAGATGTCACGCGGGCCAGGGTGAGGAGGGGAGGGGAGGTAGACGTCAAGGGGCGGGGCGGGGGGGGGGTAGGGGGCGAGCTTACTTGTGATGCTGGGAAAGTTGAGCCCGGTCGTCCGTACGTGACTTTCTAGGGAGTCCGTGACGATTGTGCGACCGGGAAATATGGGCTCCTGGCGGCCATTATTTACGGGTCGCGGAACGTCGACATGATAGCGTGAGCCGTAGTTTATGCGTCCTCGAGGCGTCGCGACCCTGTAATTGGGCCTGAGTAATGGTCGCGCCGCATCGAATTACATGCATTTTTACCCTGTGGTAACGGCAGCGGCCCGTCATCCTCGTCACCCGGTGCAGCGCTGGCAATATAGCGTAATGTTAGCTTGCACCGCCGCGCCCCGCCACCCATCACCGCAATCACCGGCTGGCTTTAATGCAATTGCAACCATTCCGGCTTTATAACGTCATTTGTAAGATTTCGAGAGGCAGAGACGAGGGGGAGAGCGAGGGAGAGGTGAGAGGCTGCCGCCGCGTCGCCCGCCGCACGGCCGTCTCGCTCTCGCTGGCTTTTGCTCTCTCCTTCTCTCCTGTCTTTTGTTCTCTCTCTCTCTGTGTTTTGTTTTCTCTTTCTGTCTTTTGTTCTTTCTGTTTTTGTTCTCTCGCTGTCTCTATTTTTTTTCTCTTTTCCTTCTCTCTGTCTGTTGCTCTCTCTTCCTCCTTATACTTTGCTCACTTCTCTCTCTTTTGCTCTCTCCTTTTCTGTCATTTGCTCGCTTCTTCTCTATCTTTTGCTCTCTCTCTCTCTCTCTCTCTCTCTCTCTCTCTCTCTCTCTCTCTCTCTCTCTCTCTCTCTCTCTCTCTCTCTCCTCTCTCTTCCTCTCTCTCTCTCTCTCTCCCTCCCTCCCTCCCTCCCTCCTCTCTCCCTCCCTCTCCCTCCCTCTCTCCCTCCTCCCTCCCTCCCTCTCCCATTCCCTCCTCTCTTCCCTCCTCTCCTTCCCTCCTCTCCCCTCCTCACTCCCTCCTTCTCTCTCACTCTCTCACTCTTCCTCTCACT